CCTCCTCCTCCTCCTCCTCCACTCAAGCAATTCTGGCACGAGCGGGTGAAGGGAGTGTCTTTCTTCTGCACACTCCACCACATTTTGTGCTCACCTACTCTGCCAGCCCTGCGCCGCCAAGTGGTGCTTGAGGGGTTTCGGACCTGCCTTTCTGTCGAGCCAGCGCTCGGCGAGGATAGCAGCTTCCGTCAGCGAAAGCAGGGCGAGCTCGATGGCTACAAGGCACTGGAGTACTTGCAACTCTTGCCACCGTCATGAATACAATGACGTATTGCAAGAGAACGGCAACAAGTGCGTGAAGTGCCACAGACCCGTCAAGATGTACAAACCCAAACCTCGCAAAGATGCCCCAGCTGAATTTCAGGACAATGCTTTGGTTTTCGTGAATGGCGCCGCTGACAACGGCAAGGGCGGCGGCAAGGGCACAAGTGCGAGCAGCAGGTCTTCACCCTCTGCGTCCAGCCCAGCCGAGGTCGAACGGTTACTCACTAAGTTACTCAGCGAGGCCAAAGACATCACCACGAAGAAGGTTATTCTTGAGCAGTTGGCCGAAGTTCGGGCATCTTCGTCGGCGGCCGTCAAGCCGATCACCGCAGAGGATGCTGTCAAGCGTGCTGATAGCGCGCTGAGGGACGCACAGGCTAAACATGATCAAGCCATCGCGCAGGTCCTGAAGCTGCGCGAGAATCTCCAGCGAGCTGAGTCCAAAGAAGCAGATGCAGCTTTGGTCCTTGCGAAGGCTGAGGCAGCCAAGAAGTTGGCCATCACCACCCTCGCCAAGGAGTCAGGGCTGCTCACCTCGGACGCTGCAGCCGCCACCTCGCCCACCAAGGATGGCAGCGGCTCTGGCGGGGTCATGTTCCATCTGCAGTGGGACGAGGACTTTTTCAATAACCTCGACCAGTATGAATGCGAGGAATCGGAGAAGATCGAGCTGAAGGCCCTCGAGCGTGAACTCGTTCAGGTACAATCCGCCCTTGACGAGCGCGGCACGAAGGTCATGGAATGGAAGAAACGCATGGAGCAGCTCAAGAAGGCGGTGGCCGAGCGCACGGACAAGAAAAGGAAGATGGGGGAGCAGCAGCAGGCCTCTGGGGCCACCGGTGCCGCTGCGCCTGCCGTGGCGCCTGGCGCCGACACGGCCGCGGCTGCTGGAGCAGCGGCCGCCAGCGCAGCGGCGCCAGCGACACCAGCTACCCCGAGCGACGAGGAGCTGCAGCAGTCGGCCAAGCTCATATCGGAGGCCAAGTTTGCTGCAGCGGAGATGGTCAAGAAGCAGCAGGAGACTACGATGCCAGGCGTCTCTGCCTGACATGGAGCGCGCGGCGGCTTGCCTGCGGCCGCCGACGGTGGCGCCACTTCATCTACAACGCAGGCTCCTTCCTCTTCGGGTTCAAGGTCGTCTAATGAGCCTCCTTCTGTGGAAGAGGCAGGGGTAGACGAGCCAGATTCCGAGATCAGCAGTTCTGTTTTGTTCGGCAATGTCTCACGGTGGGGCGCGAAAGCGTGGGATTTCGTCGCCTCGCCTTCGACTCGGTCTCAGTATCAGTACTTTGCCATTGCCGAGACTCACTTGTTTCAGAAGCAGCACGTTGAATGGCAGGGTAAGTTCCGTTCAGCTAAGTTTAATTCCTTCATGAATGCCGCTCGCCCAGGCTTGATCGACAGCGATAAGGCCAAGGGCGAGGGGGGTGAACTTCATTCGGCAGGTTCGTTCATTCGGCAATCCCAGTGATTATCCCGAGCTGTGCGAGGAAGGATCCTTTGACGGATTGTTGCCAGTGCTTGTGAGTTTTAGTGGATATACCATAGTCGTCATTGTCTATTATGGGGTCTCCTCGTTGGGGTTCCATGGGGCCAATGCTCGTAGGCTGTCTCGGGTGGGTGCCCTTGTAGCCTCTTTACAGCTCCCTTGGCTCATTATTGGGGACTTCAACATGAGCCCACAAGATTTGGCTCGCTGCGGATTTATAGATAAGGTCGGCGGGGTCGTTTTTACTTCGGATGCTCAATTTACGTGCACTACTGGCACGGGAAGCTCACACATTGACTACCTTCTCGCTTCTCGGTCTGCGTGCCCTTACGTCCTCAGTCTCTCGGCCGCCCTGGCCGCCCCGTGGGGGACACACATTGGTTTGAACTTGAAGTTGCGAGGCGAAGGACTCCAACTGCTGACTAGATCATTAGCGTTACATCGGAAGCTTCCGCAAGTTCAGCGCCCCAGTCAGACCCCGAAGGCCGGTTCCAAATCGCAGCAGAACAAGAGAACTAAGCATGAGAGACGCACGGCGTTTCAAGCTAAATTTAGAGAAGCGCGCGATCAGTGTTTTGGAGATTTATTTCGGGCCCCCGAGGACAGTCAGCCTGAGGCTTCTCAGGAAGCCCCCGAGGAGCCCGAGGATCCCTTTGAATGCAGAGGCGCCAAAGAATGGGACGAAGAACCCGACCCATGGGCCGCCGACATCGTTTCAGATGCCCGATGATATAAATAATGCGCCCCCCACCCCAGATACCCGCGATGTGAAAGAGGCTGTAGAGGACCCCCCAGGCCCAGTAGGTTTTTCAGAGCAGCCATCCTTCAGCATACAGGCCACTTGGGATTTGCATAGGTCCAACGTGGGGTTCACCAAGCAGAGCATCGACGACGATTGGCCCGTCGTGTCGTCGCCAGGTGCATTTGCAGTGGGAGGTCCTCATATTATGCAAGTCAGTGGTCTATATAGCAGCTGGGTCAGAGCTCTTGAAGGCACCATTCTGGATCATCACGGGGAGTTATCTGGTACAGGCATTCCTAGTCGTGGGGTATCTCGTGCGGACAGTCCTTCGTTCGTGGTTCACCTAGTACATAAAACTGCACACTTGCGGGAGGTTCCGTTTGCAGATCAGGTTACTACGTGGTGGTCTCGTCTCCACACCGTGCTTCTCTCTTGCCATCGCCACAGAAGTAGGAACAACGGCAGCAAGCAGATAGTGGAGCTGGCCGAGGTAGCCAGGACGTTGTCGCAGGATGTTCCAGAAGGGGTTAGCGCAGTTTTGATTCCAGGACGTAAGCATTATACGTGGGAACATTGGTTACATCTTATTAGCAGTATAGATACTCTCAGCATGCATCTTTTGGACAATATGCAAGCCCAGTCTGACAAAGTTGCGCAGAGAGCACGACGGCGCGCAGTTCAGGCTTCCATTCGTTCTTTCCAGGACTGGATCGTGCAGGAGTCATCTCTCGGCGCTGTGCATCGCTCTTTGCGCATTGTCCCGCAGGCTGCCGATGAGCTTGTGGTCGACGGCGCGCGCTTGTTTCATCCCGTCGACATAGTAGATGCCAAGGTAAAACAGTATCAGACTTTGTGGGCCCCCGACAAGTACGATCCCCAGGAGCTCGAGGAGGTTTTCAGTATCGCTCGGGAAGCAGCCAGGGTCGAGCAGCTGCCCGCCCTCTGCGCTGATGATCTTCGGAAAACTGCCCGTCGGATGAAATCGAGAGCTGGCCTTGGCATCGACCGTTTGACACCCCTGGACTTCGAAAGGCTTCCAGATGGTGCGTTAGACGAGCTTGCAGGCATCTTCGAGACCATTGAGGCTACATGTACCTGGCCGTGGCAACTTCTCGTTGTTCTAGGGCGGCTGCGTCCCAAAAAATCGACGGGCGACCGCGTGATCGGCCTCATGGCCATGGCCACCAGGCTCTGGAGCCTCCCCAGGGATGAGATTCCCAAGGAATGGTCCAGATCCGTCGATTCTGACTGGGATGCTGCCGTCTCAGGTAACTCTCCCCTTCTCGAGGCCTTCCTCAAAATCTTAGATGCGGAGGTCACGCACAAGCTTGGTGGAACGTACGGGGCCGCTTTATTAGACATTAAGAGTTTCTATGCCAACATTCGTTTCAGGAATCTGGTTTGTGCCGCTCTCAGGCTTGGGTACCCGCCAGTTCTGTTATTTTTGCAGCTGCAACTCTGCGTGGCACCTCGCGTCCTCTCTCAACTGGGTTCGCACTCCTTGGGCTTTCAACCTACACAAAGCATCATTCAAGGTTTGCGGGGCGGCACTCGTTTTGCTCGCTGCCTACCTTCTTCGTTATAGAGAAGCTCCAGACCATGCATGCGGGGATGGGTGAGCGCATTTGGGTAGACGACTTGCACTTGTCTCTTTCGGGATCCAGGAGAAGGGTGGAGGAGGAGTTGGTCAGCAGCGTCGAAGATGTCAATATCATGTTTAACAAGGAAGGGCTAGCACTCGCTGACAAGAGCGCGGTTCTCTGCTCGGATCATGCCGCGGCGAAGTCTGTGGCCAAGCGTTTGAAGGCTCGTGGCATCCTCATCCCTCCTGTCTTGCAGACCTCCTACCTCGGCGTCGACACGGGGGTGGGTAAACGGCAGGCTAGAGCTGTTCGGAGGCAACGTGTCGTCAAGTCGGCCCAGCAAAATCATAAGCTTCGTCGGCTCGCCCGAGCTTCGAAAAGGTATCAAGTTACGAAACGCGTGGAGCTTGCAGGACCTCAGGCTGGAGCTTTCTATGGTCCTCAGGCTTACGGGGTCTTTGGGGCTCATCTCTTGAATGCTCGTCGTCGTCGTGCTGCCGTCGCTGGCTGTAACAAGAGGGGCCGATGCCTCACTACGGTTCTTGATCTGCGCACGCCAGGCATGGACCCAGGCATTCGATTTCCCGCATTGCAGCTGCAGCAGTGGATGCAGGTTTGGAGTCATTCACCGCAGCTTCGTGCTGGCATCAATCAGGCTTGGCCGATGGTGCTAAACCAGTTGCGAAGTATTTCTCCCGAGCATCGCACGAAGCACATTCGTGGTCCGCTTTCGGCTTTGGTGCATCAGTTGCTTGTGCTAGGCTGGGATCCTGAGCAGGCCGACCGTTGGCATGGTCCATGTAGTGATGGCGACGGCATTCCTGATTTTTCTTGGAACTTTCATTCTGAGCAACTTGTTGGCATGGATCAGACAAGAGGTTTGGTTGAGGATTTCAGGAGCAGTTTGCAAGAGCAGCTATGGTCACAGGCCAGTCATCACTACAACGGTGCAGGCCTGGAGGGCGGCGCCGACAACTACAACTTGCGCATACTTTTGGCGCAGCTTCAGGAAGCAGTGCACGGCAGGCAGTTATCGGAGTTGCTTCTGAGTATTGCAGCTGGAGGCTCTTGGATTTCTTCTCGGAAGGAAGCTGCTGGCATCCCCGTGGACCCGCAGTGCCCTAGATGTCGTCAAGTTCCAGAGACTCCTGTGCACAGGCACTGGACATGCGAGGCCAACAGTGGGCACCCCGCTTACGAGCAGTCTAGTGAGTTCCTCATGGAGGCCCTTGCCCATCAAGAACATGAAGCGTGCTTCTGGCATCGAGGCCTCATTCCCCGTAAGTGGACCCTGGTGGAGCCCCCTGTGGTTTCCGAGCGCTGGTTCACTACTGGGTTCAATGGGCCTCTTACTGCAGGTTGTCTTGGGAGTGGGACCCCTCAAGATCCTGTGGTTATTTGTGGTGACGCCTCAGGTGGTCCCGACGCCAGATCCCAGATTTCGTCGTGTCGGGCTCGCCATCGTGGTCGTCAACCAGTTCGTTCCGTTCATCTGCGAGCAGTCTGTTGCTGGTCCGCTTCCAGGCAGATCTCAGACGGTACCTCGTGGGGAGCTCCTGGCATTCCTGATCGCTTTGCGATTCACCGACGAGCACCTGGCTTTCGTTTCAGACAACGAGGAGGTGGTGCGGGGTTGGTGACAGCGTCGTTGGGAGTCGCCGCAGGGAGAGTTGGCCGATCTTTGGAGGGAAGTTGGAGTTCTGCTCAGGCACAGAGCTCCTGAGAAGATTGCTGTCCTTCAGATCTCGTCTCATCTTTCGCCTCTGCAGATGTGTGTAAAGAAGTATCCCAATTGGATGGTGGAGGGGAATATTTGTGCTGATGAACTGGCAGGGCACATGGCAAAAAAGTTCCGTGTGTCCGAGCAGTCTCTTTTTCGTGTCCTTCAGGTCGAGCGGAAGGCAGCTTTGGTTCGGAAGCGTCTTATGAGGTCCACTTTGCAGGCCATCAACGCTGAACAGGCCTTGAGGAAGTCTGAAAGAACGAGGTCCGCTGCTGGTGCCGCCGCCGCTGATCGTGTCCCTTCTTTTCCTCCCCCTCCGCCTCCTCCTCCCCCGCCTAGCCCCGCTGCTGTCGCCCTGTTCTGCTCTGGGCATTCAGTGGACGGCGACGGCTCGAAGTGCACGAGGTGTCACAACTCGAGCACGAAGGCGGGGCGCACGCGCTGGCTCTCCACCTCCTGTCATCCTCTCGTGTCCTTGTCTCGGGGTCTGCTACAGCCTCCCGCGGGGGTACAGATTCATCTGGCAGGGGGTTGGGTGCACAATAGTCACGCCATGTGTTTTCATGAAGTTTCGAAGGTTTGGATCTGTCGAGCTTGTGGCTACTTCGGAGCTGAGCAGCTTCGAGGTCTCTCGTCCACTTTTCTCCCTTCGAAGATCACCAAGAAGCGGAGGGAATACCTCTCCAGATTCGAGAGGGGACTTCCCCCCAAGTAGTCAGTCGGTTATTGCTTCGCAATCGTTCCGAATCCGAATCCGAATCCGAATCCTCCTCCTCCTCCTCCTCCTCCTCCTCCTCCTCCTCCTCATCCTCCTCCTCATCCCCCTTCCTCCTCCTCCTCCTCCTCCCCCTCCTCCTCCTCCTCCTCCTTCTCCTCCTCTTCTTCCTCCTCCTCGGGGAGTGGGTCGACACCTCTGGGGGTCGACGTTCTGACAGAGGTCAGGGGGGTTCTGGCTGTGGAAGCCTGATTAGCGCGACTGTTTGGAACAGTGCTCTCATGCGGAATCCGAGGGGGAGCTGTCCACCAGCTTGAAGCAGGCGCCCAAAGCAGCCAAGATCTACTCCATTGGGGAGGAGGGGGGGGTGCGAGGGCCCGCGCCGATCGGCAAAACAATGAATAAGAACATGATCACCATCTCCCAATGTGTTTCTCCAGATCTGAGCTCCAGATTGTGGCCAGGGTGCTGCTCGGCTCTACGCGGGACAAAGGGAAGCGCACAGCCGTTGACAAGAGCCCCTCCCTCCCCCCTCCCGCCCCCCTCCATCAAACCACACATTCTACTTACGGTACGGGCAAGAAACCGATCCCCCCCTCCCTCATTCTACGTCAAAATTGACCTCACCGAGTGGGGTCCGGACCACACGCCTCGAAGTTGGCAGCTCCAGAAATCGAAAGTCTGGCGCGCATGTGAAGCACGCGCACAACACCGTATACCCAAGAGGGCGCATAGGCAACAATAATTGAGTGAATTGGCACGCTCGCGAAAAAAACACCAGCCCTCCTTGCTGAAGTGCTATACGGCGCTTCCTCTTCCAACCCCCATTCCTTTTTGGGGAGGGCGTGCTAGCGCCCCTGAACTTATCGACCATCCCCTCCTCCACCACTCGACCGGCGGCCGACCAAAACCATACCGAGCTCCCCCCCCGATCCATGTCAATTCAAACACGCAACATGAACTTGAAGGCGAAATGTTAGACCATGCGCGGAGAGGGCGCAATCACTTTACTCGTTTTTTTCGAGGGGCGGCGGGGGTGACAACGGATTGCCTGGTGCGTGCAAGCCCGCCCTCCGCGTCAACAATTGACGCTAGGCGCACCTTGCAGCAAAATGGTTCGCCATGCGCCGGATGCCCCGCGGTCACTGTGCATCCGCTGTGTGCAACGGGTGGGGGGGATATGCCCGCCTAGTGTCTAGTGCGTGCGGGCGCACCGCCCCTGCGAACAACACATTCGAGGCGGCCAGGGGTGCACGCGAACGCACAATGCTGAACACCCCGCTTTCACTTAGCACTGATCTGTTTTAACAGCGATTGTGGTGTTTGGGGGGATGACATGTGTCCCGACGTGTGCGGTCACGCGTGCTGGCGCACCTGATGCTGAGTCTCGGGCGCTGCTGATGTGGTGGTAGGGCGGGTGGGAGTGAAGGAGACTTCTTGTAGCCGTCCCTCGAAGTAGCTTGACACTTCCCCCATACCCCTCCCATGGGTCGGGACGGTGGGGGGGGCGGGCAGCGAGCAGTCGGAGCGCCCACGCTGGCCCAGAATGGCCCCAATAAAGCCACAAATAATACAAGATGCCCTCCAGAATGGCTCCATGTACGTTCATTGCCACGGAACCTCCCAAGGACGCTGCCGAAAGGCAAACACGTCTCCTCGACCTGAAGAATCAACAATGACGTGTGTAGTGTCGCTGTTCCGCTTTGAATTAGCATCCGCGGTCTCAAGATGGCCCCGACATGGCCAGAGCCCCAAGAGTGCTCCAAGTAGGACCCATTATATGAGTTTTCTGACTCAAGAGGGACAGGGGCTATCAAGGCTCCTCTTTCTTGGACCGATGTCATCCAACATGGCCCCAAGAGGGTCCGCGGCTCACTAAAGAAGGCACCCAAAGACCCCCGATATGGCGTCAAGGTCGCCGAGATGGCTCCAAGAGGGCTCCAACAGAAAAACTCCAAGAGGCTTACAAGCAAGCTCCCAATACGAGATCCGCCGACCCTTTGGCGTGTGCGGGACGCTTTTCTGATTGAGCCGCCGTCGTCGTCGTTCTCGCTCTCGTCCTCGCCGTCGTCAGTCCCAAAGAAACTGAGGAACAACGAAAGAGGGTCGTAGTCAAGTCGATTGGGGGAAGGGGCAGTGGGGGGGGGGGGTTGGGGGGGGGCCTGGGTCAGAAAACTGCCCCCCGCCGGGGGATCCCGGCAGGTCCAGGGAAGGGGCGCCAGCGGGGGTCCCGTGGGAGGCCCCGCCTTCAAAGTCGGCGGCACCGGACGTTAAGGTCTTCGCGATATCTGCAATAGTAGTGGTTTTGGTGGCAAAGGACGTGACCAAATTGCGCAAATGCTGCGTGTTCGATGCCACCATTTGGTGGACGGCAAAGCCACTATAGGAAGGGTTAGAAACGTTACTTTCATCCGGGCGATACCGAGGTCATACGCGATGCAATATTCGACCAAGAGCTTGCGATCTGAAACCTCGTGCACACTGCCCTTCGCCATCTCGTACACATGCGGACCGATAGCGGTGTCCTCCCCAGCCTCCTTGGAGCCGCCTGCCGCTTAAGTCACCGAGAACGTATGAAGTTAGGTGTTCTGTAGTACGGCGACCAAGGTGTCGGAGGATATAGTAGAATATGTGTACGATGTCGTACTGGATTCCACTGAAGCGCGTAAACGGACAAAACGGTAAGCATCCGATCATGCATGTTCAATCGTAGTGCAACTCGCTACGCGATCGACGCACGGTTGGAAAACAACAGCTACCTAACGTTTCCAGAGATAAACACGTTCGGCAGTAGACCCAGGCACACATGTAGACCAAATGTATGGTGTGTTAAACTCTGTACTGCTGAGATGAATAGATTGGATGATTACTATGTCATCCGATCCATTTGAGAGCATCCGCAATAGTTGGTCTAGTTGAACGGCGGAGCCACGAGACCATGAACATTCAAACTTAAGATGCGCTCTAAGCTGCAAGGTCTACAATCACGCGTGTGTCGACCCCAAGAGGCTTCCTTTGGTCAATGGAAAAAACCATCCATTTTACCGTTATGTGCAAATGTAGATTCTAGAGTGGATGTGCAAGCAAGAACTTACAATACATGCGGCCCAGCGGGCAACAGCACCACCAGATCCGCGAGAGCTCAATGCCTCACAGCGTTCCACAAGCATTCAGAGGGCAAAGGATGCTGCCTCTGTGTTGCAAACCACTAGAGATAGCACTCATGATGCGTTCCACTCAGCTCTCCCTCCGACCAGATTGCGGCCGGTCACCTCCTCAAGCAACGCTTCTCGTGAGATGTTTGGTCTCACCGCCTCGTGAGACCCCTTTCCCCATCCAGGCCCTGGCCCTGGGGCCCTGGCTCTGCCCACCCCACCCCCCCACCCCACTGCTCGGCGACTCTGAAGGGTTTGGTCTGCACACGCAAAGGGGCCCATGGGCACACAAGTGAATAGACACACATAAAAGGGTGTTCCGTATTTTC